CCCAACAGACCCACCACCAGTGATCATCCCGCCCCAGAACGTGTCCGTCCTACCCGGAGAGACGGCCATCTTGTCCTGTATCGCCATCAGCGCCGTGCCCTACAACATGACCTGGCGCAGGGAGACCCAGTACGGACCTCTGACCCTTGACCCCAGGTTCCGCAGCTACAGCAATGACTCACTCACCATCTAGTAAGTCTGGGATATATAATACGTCTGGGATTTGTAAAACAATGACTCACTAACCATTTAGTAAGTCAGGGACATAAAATACGTCTGGGGGAGTAGTAAATCAATGACTCACTCTCCATCTAGTAAGTCTAAGAGTTATCAGTTTACTAACCCTAAAACAACGACTCACTCACCATCTAGTAAGTCTAAGAGTTATCAATTTCCTAACCCTGAAACAACGACTCGCTCACCATCTAGTAAGTTTGTGAGTTGTAAAACAATGACTAATTAATCATAATATAATAATTTTGGGAGTTGTAAATCAATTACTCGTTCACCTTCTAGTAAGCCTGGGAGTTGTAAAACAATGATTGATTCATTATAAGTCTGAGAGTTATAGAACAATCATACAATGACTCATTCACCATATTATTATTATAAGTCTGGGAGTTATAAAACAATGACTCATTCACCATCTAGTAACTGTCTAAAAGTTGTAAAACAATGACTCAGTCACCATTGTTAGTCTGAGAGCTGTAAAACAAAGACTCGTTCACCATATTATAGTAAGTCTGGGAGTTGTAAAATAATGACTCACTAACCATCTAGTAAGTCTTGAGAGTAGTAAATCAACGACACGTTCACCATAATATATTGTAGTAAGTCTGGGAGTTGTAAAATAATGACTCACTAACCATCTATTGAGTCTGGGGAAGTAGTAAATCAACGACTCGCTCACTATGTAGTAAGTCTGGGAGTTGTAAAAACAATTACTTATTCACCATCTAGTAAGTCCTGAAAGTTGTGAAAACAATTACATTGTACTCATTCACCATTATAATAAGTCTGGGAGTTGTAAAACAATAGCTCACTAACCATGCAGTAAGTCTGGGAGTTGTAAATTAATGACTCATTCACCATCTAGTAAGTCTGGTAGTTGTAAAACAATGACTCATTCACCGTATAGTAAGTCCTGAAAGTTGTAAAACAATGGCTCTTTCGTCTTATAATAGCGTGGGAATTGTAAAACAATGACTCACTAACCATCTAGTACGTCTTGGGAGTAGTAAATCAATGACACGTTCACCATAATATATTGTAGTAAGTCTGGGAGTTGTAAAACAATAGCTCACTAACCATACAGCAAGTCTGGGAGTTGTAAATTAATGACTCATTCACCATCTAGTAAGTCTGGGAGTTGTAAAACAATGACTCATTCACCGTATAGTTAGTCCTGAAAGTTGTAAAACAATGGCTCATTCACCGTATAGTAAGTCTGAGAATCGACAACTTCCTAACCCTACAACAAGGACCCATTCAACATGCAATACGTCTGAAAGTTGTAAAACAGTGACTCAGTCACCAGATTAGTAAGTCTTTAAAAAAAGTAAATACATGTACATGAAACCTTTTTATTTCCTCGGAATATGTAGGCCTATACTTACAAGTGCAATAACACTGTTGACAATTTTAAAAAAATCTCCCCAGCAACGTGGACCGCCAGGACGAGGGAAGCT